CAGCACTGTTTCTGAGGGTTCTCTGAACCCCAGCACAGTACTTTAAGTATGGGACCACAGTGGGATAAGAGGTAGGAAAACTGCGTTCTGTGAGAAAAATCTCCATTCACAGATTCCATGATCCAGCTTCCTAAAACAAGGTATCTTATACAGATTGCAAACTATTGTGCAGTGCAAAGTATTGTCTACTGCACGTAATGTATGCAAATATACTCCAGAATATTACTTTTAAAATACAGCTCTTTACAGTCAACCAATTGCAAAGAAAAGGATATTAATATGCTTTCTAAACAAGATCCTTGGTATCAAATAGTACTTGAAAAACAAAATGCATTCCAAAGTGCTCCTTGTGCAAAGCAAGTATAACACCCCCATTTTCTCACAGTAGTCCCATCGATGCCAACCTAAATTCACATTCAAGGATTATCTTTAGGTATGCACAAAAGTCTTATTTATTAGGAAGGGAGGGGAAAATATTCTTGAGTATTCCACTGCACTAAAAAAACCTAGGAAGATGTAACAATAGTGAAGAGCTAAGCTGGAACATGAAGTTGAGGAAACTTCAGAGGACGGCAGGAGACCGGAAGGCCTGGCATGATCTGGTCCATGGGGTCGCGAAGAGTCGGACTCGACTGTGCGACTGAACAACAACAAAGCTGGAACTGCAGCTACACTTTATTTTATGAATGAAAATCCTGCATTTGTTCCCATAAACCTCTTTCTTCCCCACAGGAAATGTCTGGCCAAATTATTCAGTGCTGTGGAGAGTCAAAACTGAAACCCATGCCATCGTCAACTAAGTCCTCTAGACTGTTTTCACACAGGGACAGGCTTGTGTTGTTTCCCATTACAGGTTCAGCTGTTGACAATGTGCATCAACCAATGGGGCATCAGCATGACAGATTTCCCTCCACTTTCCCTGCCATGGGTTCCCTAGCAGTACTAGCTACTATCTCCTCCCTTGGTCCACCAGGGCTTTTGCAAACATTTCTTTACATTGGCACTAAACTATTATTATAGTGCTATAACATAACAATAGGTATACTGGGTTCTCTGAATTCCCAAGCTTTCATTTTTTAAAAAGTCTCTAGCCTCTTCCATTGCAGAGATGTGCTTCTCTTCTTATAGCTATGCAACAAAAGGGACTAGACACTTACTTTTTAAAAAGTGGAAGCTGAGAGCCTGTTACATATTTTGTTACAATGGCATCACGATTTAAAAATATTCCGGTGAGGGAGGGAATGGCTACTGTGGGGATAGTGTCAGGAAAAATGGCTGCCATGTGGGCAGGAAAAACTGAATTTTACCACCAACACAAACAGCCATACAGGTTCCCCAAAACTTTGGAGCAAAGCAGGTTTGACAAGGCTCAAAAAACAGCCATGAAATGCCGGAAGGTACATGAAAGCACCATGATGCTGTGGGAAAACATAAAAAAAATGCTTCCCAACAGCATTGACCCAGGAAAAGATATCGTGTGGAAATGGCCCTATATGGTTTAGCAGGCAACTGCAATAAAGAGGCGTCACTGGAACAAGGAGAGATCACCGCTTATAGAGTTCTACAGTTTTTTTGATGTACACATACAACCTGTAATATAGTAATTCTTAAGGCAGGGCCATCTCAGACCAAAGAACATTCCAATGAAAAGTCTGCTCTGTTGCACTGAGGAAATCTCAAAACAAGAGATTTCATTCAGTTTCCAGTTCTCTTTGCAACCTCTCACAGCCAAGTTTTGTTTTTTTTTGTCTCTGAGGATCTAGTCATCCCTGGCAATGCCATGTTGGAAGGCAGACAGAACTGAAGAAAATTCACCCCAATGAGAATCTCTGATGAGGGAAACTACAGGATACAATTGCTCTTGTACACAAAGATGAAGTACCTAGTTTACATTTCACATCTCTGCTTCTATCTAATCATCCAAATGAAATTACTTAGTATCCTGGGATTTTCATAATTAATACAAATTCTTAATTCACCCGTTTCCTAAAAATGAGATTACCCTACAAGAGTACTGAATTCATACGTAAAGAGGAGACACTCAGTTCAATTGTACCGATTTTATATTCAGAAGAAATAATCTATTCATTCTTTCCTTTTTGTTTGGGGGAAGGAGTATGCAACCACCTAACATTAAGACTAAAATAATGATAGGGAATAAGCATAATTCAGTTTAGTGAATGAAGGGTAATCAAACTAGAAGGCAAAGTCATATGCAAACATCAGGTTACCTTCTGCACGTCTTGGCAGTAAAAAGAGAATCTGCCTAAACAACATCAACCCTAAAAACAGGGAAGAGCACTTTCATTTCAAAATGTGGTGATGTACAACTGACAACAAGCTACTGATGACAACAAGGCATAGCACCAAAAACTTAAAAGCAGCAGCACACAACGAGTGCTCAACAGTTCAACAGTAGATGTATTCTAAGGCATAAACACCAATTATAGCTTGCTTTGCTAATTTCTCCATCCTGCATTAAATAGTGATTCTACATCTCAGCACTAGAGCCTGAATTTAATTCAATCCCACTATTGAGGACAAGCATGACTGTAGGATTTCACTGTTATTAGGTCCTGCTCCAATGATGATACTGCCAATGCTGTAAGTCATTTCTGTATCTGAACACCCTTCCATTGTAGAAGAACATCTAAGACACTCCATGGTGCATTTTTTTAAAAAACGCATTTAACCTTGTTTGGCTATTACAGTTCAAAGTGGCAGGAAGGTGGTGCAACACATATATTTCCAAAAAAATGTAGAGTATCTGAGGGTCAGAATTTCTTTACTCACAAGACATTGAGGAGAAACTCTACTACAGAGCACTAGAATACAGACACACACAAATAACAGTAACTGAACTGACAGAGGGTGAACCTGGTCAATCTGCATGAGGACATATCCAACACATTATAAACTGAATAGTAACTAGATTAAGGAAAGGGACTCTCAGTTTGCTCCAAACATTATGTCTGCCAGTGAAAATCCCATCTCAATGAATTACTTCATTACTTGCTGGAAGAAGAGACATTGTAAAGGATGATAGCACATACTGATCACTGCAAGACAATCTGAATGGAGAAAATGGAAGGATTCACTCATATTACTAGCTGAACAGCTAGTGTTGGTCATTCTGGTACACAAATCTTGACTCCCCAACTAGAAAAATGCTTCCTAAAATCTCTTCTCCATGAAGTTAAACAGCAGCCCTGAGCAAAACTGAACTTCCTTCTGATAAGCAAGTGCTTGTCTTGCAGAACAACATCAATGGCTTGTGCCACATATGAATGAATGTCATTGTTCAGATTAATTCAGATTACTAAAGCACTGAATCAGAAACTGTGGGCTATAACTTGTGCTGCTAAATTACTGAAAATAAAGGCTGCCTGAATTTCCTTTTTATTTCACTTTAAATGTCTTTATCAAGTCTCTAGAGAGGCAGCACATACAGGTTATAAATAAAAAAATTCAATGGGTATGACCACCCTGACAGAAGAGGGGCACTCTCAAAGTGAACAATTCAAAAAGTAAGGAAAACTCATGTTTCCCAAACATGAGCTTCTTTTGGGATTGTCTTCTGTAGGACAATTTGGGTAGGCTTTATTGGAAAAAGGATTGCTTAAATAAATCATAAATTCAATTTTATCATTTGTATGTAGGATAACTGTATAAATAGTATTCAGTGGATTGCTTTTGTGGAATGAGAACAGAGGAACAATGACAATTTTTGGAAGGGAAAGTTATAATTTACAGATTCTACAAAAACCAAGTGCGGGTCAGCAAACAGCCACACATTTCAAAAGGCTGGTCCGATCTATCTTACTCCAGCCACAATTAAGATCTATGACTATTACCTAATAGATGTCAAAGTTTCAAGAATTAGGAGCTGATTTATATCATATCTGGTGGTCAAATCTTTAAAAAGATTTATGGAAAAGCTTTAGATTTCACTTCTCAAATTGTTGAGTATAAAACAGCACATATAGCATTAATTTCTAAGTATTCCTAAAGGGCACAGTGTTTCCTGCTCTTATGAACATATTCACTACTGCAAGGGTAGTCATAACCAAAAACTGAAGTCAGAGTTCCAACTACATGTAAAGGATTGACTCATAACATGAAACAAAAAGTGCATGGGTTTTATGTAGACCATGTGATTTAAAATGTGGGTTATTCCCAAAATTTGGGGAAGACATATGCCTCAACTTCTGAAATTATGCATCCACAAATTAAGTGTAAGATCATGTTTACTTATGCCATTCAATATATAACTTGCCCAATCTCTCTCTTTAATTTGGAGTTTATATGAGCAGCTTTCCCCTCCTAATTTTTTTTGAAGAAGTTCAGATTAACCAGGTGCTCCCATGACAGGCCAGACCTCTCTTATGCAGCTTCACTTTGTATAAGGTCAATATGCATACAAAAGGAAAGCAACAGTGAACCCCCATAAATACCCACCAGATAAAAGCACATGGACAAATGATACATGCAAACAAGATTCTTCACTGAGAGCTGCATATTAATGGTCTAACCCAGAAACACAGGAAAGCTTTCTGTGTGTGCACAGTCAAGCATGATACTATTTGGCTTACAGGAAGAAGAGATTTTCATTTACTGTTCAATGTCAAGAAAATGAAACGTCTGGGGTTAGCAGCTTAGCTCTTGTCACTTAAAATCCACAATATCCACAAACTCACAAGGACGCCTACCAGAACTGGGAACTTTTTATAACTACCATACTTTGAATCTATCAACTCTGCAAGGCATGCACAACTAAAGAAGGTAGAATAGTCAGAAAAACAAGCTTTTGCAGTAGAGCATTCTTATGCCTCTCTAGATTTCTGAGAAACTCCAACATTTTAGCTGCCTCCTTGTATATACCGGAAAGGAAAAAAGTCTTCCTTTGAACTGTTTAAAAAACTAAACAAAAAAACCTAGGTATCGACCCTCCCCACAAAAATATTCTTCTAGAAGCATTTTCGACCGAAGTGTAAAGCAACCTGGTTGGCTTCCATGCAGGCGATGGCCTCTTCCAAGAGGGAAAACTCCACGCAGATATAGCCATAGTCGTAACCTGGGGACAGCATTTAAATACAGACGGGAGTTGCGTTAGTGCCAGAAAGCCACATTTTCAGTACCCAATTCCCCTTCCCCTCAGCAAACCCCCATCATATGCTCCCCACAAAAGAAATACAAATAAAAAGCAACAATAGGTACGCTCAAAGTCAAGTTTTGGTTCAGTAGTACTTGGCAACAAACCCATTCCTTTTGCTCATTTTGAGTCCATAGAATACAATAAGCAATATGGGTTTCCATCCAAGAGACCAATAGTAGCATAGTGGGCTCATTCTCCTAAAAATTAAGGAGATACCAACCATTTTGAAACTAAACTTATTTAAAAAAATAATATCTAAGTCAAAAAACTTAATTTGTTTTCACAAGTTAACATTTTAGTAGTTTCATTAAGACAAAATGGTTTCTTGGTTCAGAATAGTGTCAGTTATTTTCTCTATTCCAAACATAGAATGAGATGAAGAAATATCATTTTTTAAATTTTAAGTTATAAACTGAGCCTAGTACAATTCCTGAACATATATAGAATATCCTAAAAATATCATGATTCCTTCCAATCAAAAGCAGTGCCAGGAAGGACAAGCAAGGACTGCTTTAACATATTCTGTGGTCCCTTTTCCTGAAGTCATTTGCTTGATCAGCAAAGGGTCATCTTTGGTACTGATGAAACGTATTTCAAGAACAGATGCAACCATCTGTCAAACTAATCAGAAGGGCACATAAAAGTGGCCTTACCTCAAAATTATCAAGGATTCAAAACACAGGGAAATTAAAATCAAGGGTTACTCAGGGGAAGATATGTCACTTTAAGGAAGAAATAGACAGTTCTATGTTTCCAGGCCTGAAACTATAAGAATCAATTTGCACTGACGTAAGTCAAAACAAAACGAACCAGAACATTTTATTTATTCAGAGAACTTCTATCCTGCATTTATACTGACAGTGTAATCAAGGTGGATTCTGAGTAAACTTATTGTTAAAAGTTTCAGCTGCTTAGATACCTTAAATTTCCACACACAACCCTTCCAGATGTAAGCACCTCGGTAATGTCCTAAACGTTATTATAGATATCATAAAATTAGCACAGTACAAGGCTTTTCAGAGCCATCTTGATAACAGACCCCGATCATGGCACAGCCATGTGCAGGCTTTTAAAAAGCCAGAAATACTACTTGCTTAGTTGTGATCATCGAGGAACAACTGCCTTTCAGTGACATGAAATCACACCAATTATGAACTGGCATTAAACTGGATTGCAATGGCTGAGCATATACTATCTTTTTCAACACTCAAAGAGGTTATGGGTGATATGGGGACACTACCAAAACTGGCATCATCGTGCCAAGTTCTACTCTTCTCTCAATAATGTACAGCAAATCTTAGGCCCCAACCACACGGGCCGGATATCGTGGGGGGAGGCGTGGCTAATTGCCCCGGCGCAGTTTGATCTGCGATTACGCGATCAGACACGCCGGCAGCACACCACGGGTCCTTCCCTCGGCGCTTGTGGGTAAACGAGGGACTGGAGGGGAATGCCAGGCGCCAGCGCGATCACACCACAGGCGTCTGGAGGCAGCCCATGGCAAACGTTTACTAGTACCTTGGAGGTACTAGTTTTTTAAGGCGCATTGTCGGCGGTAAACCACGGGCGCGCTCCACTTCCCAGATGTTGGGGTGTGATTGCGCCCGGATAATACACACACACACAGCATATCACTGTCTGCTGAGCAATATACATGATTGTCACAACACAGGCAAACCCCAACATCATGGGTCTAGAGGGAACAATCAGCAAGCTCAATGTGACCATGATGTAATCAATGTAGCAGTTTTACATGGCAAATCTACGTGTCTTCTAGCAGTTCATACTGCATACTGTGGAAATCCCATGTACCTGAAACTTGTTTGTAAAAAGCAGTTCATATAATAAATACAGCTACCCTGTTTCCCCGAAAATAAGACCTCCCCCAAAAATAAGCCTTAGCAGGATTTCTATGCATTTGTGGTATAAGCACTAGTGTTTCTTCTTGAGAATAAATATAAGACAGTGTCTTATTTTCAAGGAAACACGGTAGAATTATGACAGCTGGAAGAGATCTGCGCAAGTCTGCAACTATTTGCCATATTTATTATTTTAAAACCAGTGGCAAGAAATCAAACATCACGAAACAGACAATCAACCTTGAGTGTTGTTAAGTAGTATTTAGCTACCAGTGATAAAATTATCTATGGCCTTATGTCATGAAATCTATTCAATCAGCATGGTTAGTTATTTCACTGTACTAAGACAAGATGAAATCAAATTCTTGTCTATTTGCCGCAGAGAAAGCCAGAACTAGTGATTGAAACATTGCACTTAATTTAGTAAATTCATATTTTCATTTACACTGCAAACTTGAGTGTGAGAAAGTCAGGCTATAAATGAACTATATAAATAAATGTGAATCCGGTGGCACCTTTAAGACCAACAAAGTTTTATTCAAGGTATGACATTTTGTGTGCACGCACACTTCCTCAGATACATTGATATGGAAGTTAACATACATATAGGCAGATGGTGAACAGCAAATTAACATACAACATAATGAAGATGTTTTAACAGATGTAAGGACCAAACAGAAATAACAAGCTAAGTTTATATGGTCACCATTTGTTTGGATTTAATCATTGGGGGGGACACTGGAGCAAATAAATGTCAAAATAGGAGACGATTGTGTAAATGTGTCCTTCTTAATAGTGCGCTGCTAAAGAATAAATAACTGAGATCCTGTTGTTATGCTCCATTTGCCTCCTCTCAAGCATGGAGGTAACTAACAGCATACTTTTCTTTGAGGTGGGGTGCAACAGTTGTGCAGTGTTATGTCTCCATGCTAATTTGCTGTCCACTGTCTACCATTTCAATATGTCTGAGGAAGTGTAACTGCACTTGAAAGCTCATACCTTGAATAAAACTTTGTTGGTCTTAAAGGTGCCCCACTGGACTCAAACTGTTCTAATGCTTCAGACCAACATGGCTGCCCACCTGGATCTATAAATAAACATGGTGATTTGTATGGTCCTGCCCTGTCCTAAATAGCAACCTGCAATAAAAATCTCACTGAGAAAAGTTGACTTCTCCAAGGCTACTTGATGAGATTTGTATTCAGGCAGGGATTTTCAGACTACAACTCTGGCATTCCAATCCAACATTATCCACAGTACGATACCAGCCTTAACAGGGTTTGTATTGGACCTGGTATTGGTATACATATACCAAGTAACAACATTCCATCACCCAACTGGATGCCAGACTTAAATTGGCATTCCTTTGAACACAGTGGGGAAATTGTTGCCTTAATCCCAAATAATGAACCACAAGTGACACGCTGATTGTAAAATACAATTTTCTGTTTTTCCATCCTGCTGTAGCTCACTACACCACTGAAGTGCCACCCCACAGAAGTGGCTTTGACCACAAAACATTTTGCATTGCTCATCCCTCCCTCACCCTCTCTCTACACATACACAGCAAAGCAGGAGTAGTATCTTCTTGTTACAGTAAAAAATGTGCATTTTTCATGCTTTACAGATGTGCAGTTGAAGCTGATAATGGCTTAGAGAAACCCACCAAGTATATATGATTGAATAAAGACCTGGAAACGGTTCAGATCTAAATAATTTAGTAGAATGTATTGGACTGAAAATTTCCTTCAAACTGTCAAACAGATTAGGCATATATAACTAATAATCCTAAACTATTCATTATGTACAAAGTCCCACTTGAAATAGGAGCAATGGTAACCAGTGTTCCCTCTAAGCTGAGTTAGTGTGAGCTAGCTCACAGTTTTTTAGCCTCCGGCTTACAGATTTTTGTCTTAGCTCAGGAAGGAGGGCTTCAGAGCAAACTAATTCATGCAGCAGCCAAATCGCTCGCTCACAACTTTAATGCCAGGAGCTCACCAAGTAGAATTTTTGCTCACAGGACTCCACAGCTTAGAGGGAGCCTTGATGGTAACAAAATGCAATAACAAAATATTAGCAAGCAGCAATCACTAATTATGGAAGCAAGGTACAGAAATGCTATATTAAAGGGCAGCAGTCATACAATTGCAATAAGCCTGCACAATTTTATACCTGTCTGCCCCTGCTATTTGAGTATAAGAGGTGTTTTGTTCTTTGTTTTTTAAATAGAAACATGTACAAAGCTTGGAGCAGAACTACACATTATGGAGCTAAAAACGGTTTAGCTCTACACATAGAGAGCTAAAAACAGTCAAGGCTGATCCTGTGGCCAAACTATGTAGTTCTACTCTCCTTTTTTCTTTCATAATACACTGAAAGACAATTTGCAGAAGGTCCCTCACTGATCTTACAGCCAAGCAGCCACTTTAACCTGTATTTCCCACCTCCAAGCCTAGCCACTACATCACAATGGTTCTCCCATGCCCTCCTCAGCAAATTTCTGTCCAGTGTCAAATGATGAGATAATGCAGTGAATTATGGGTGACAGTTCCTTCCTACACACAGATGAACAACCACCTAAACACGACACAGACCTAATTAATCTGCTACAAGTGAAGTGTGAGTTGTTTTGCAGTAGCTAGATTCCATACTATTCTGCCAACATCTAGATGAAAAAGTCACATGGGACTGACAAACTATTAGGAAGTAACAATGCCAGTGCTATGGGACCCAATAATATTTCATTCAAATTTTACTAAAACAGCAAGGGATCCACCCATGGAGAAGCCACTCCCATACCATTCATACTCGTAACCACCAAGTCAGTTCCAGTTGCACAATCCCACATATGGATGGAGCTATAACAAAAAAACACTTGAAGCCCCTTTGCTGGAATCATATGTGGACTGGGAAGATGGGCACAGCTGCATCAGACTCCTCTATCCCACCTGCAAGGTCCTCTACACCTTCCAAATCTAACCTCCTATTTCTAGTCCAAAATAGTAGTGAGGATCAGTTAGAATTAATCTCATCTGTTAAGAGATGGTGTACAACCAGTTA